ACTAACTGCCAGCCTGGTCTTGCAGGCTGCTCTGATTGCCAGGACACCATGACAAACACGCAGGGGCTGGGAGTGTTGCATCCTGGGGGATGACAGCTTCTGTTTGATTGTCAATAAGGCTCATTAGCAGAAAAAATGGAGAATGCAAAAAGAAATTAAATGGCTTGAGACAGGGTCCCCCTCATGTTTCATTACCAAGGATTTATCAGAGCCTTTATTCCACAAAAAAGAAACAAAATCACTTAGTGCTTACTGCCTCCCCTCCCCAAAAGGCTGTTGCTAGTGTCCATTTTTGTAATTCTTTACATTCCACTTTTGTAATGAATTAGATATTCCATCAAAACAGGCAAATGCTAATCAAGTCCCTTAAACATCGACTACACCTTACATAAACCTCTTCGCTCCTGCTCTGTGCGACTCTCATCTTAAGAACAGTGTCGGATGTTTCCCTCCATCTTAGGGAGGAACGGCCAACAAAGCAGCGTGTAAGGGCCTTTCCCTGAAGAGTCCTTGTCACGCCGCGCCAAACCTCTGTGATTATCGTTGTTTTTGCAGAGAGTGTCCATGCCTGCCAATACCGCTGTTCCATAAATGAATTTGGCCCCTCGTCAACGAATTACCTAACATGCAGAACTGTGTATGTGTCACATCCAATTCCAACTCACCGGCTTTGGTGGTGTGTGTCAGCTGGAGGACTTAATCATCAATCGTCAATCATAATAAGCGAAGCACATTGATAGGGCTCCTTTTTTTTTCTCCTACACAGTTAAATAAAGTGTAAAGGGAGAAGTTAAGACTGACCTTGTTAAATTGGGACCACAATTTATATTCCTAATTTAGTGTATGGATTAATTAGTCTTGGCAAGTGTGAGTATCCGTTTCCATGTGGCAGAGCTTAGGAGCTATGATCAAATCATTGCTCGCTTTCATAAGGAAACTCTGGAATGATATCTGTCAGTTTCATCTTGATGTTTTTGCTCAGAACTGGCTTTGTATATTTTTAGCTGCACACTTGTAATTAATGCTTAACTGGACAATTTATAGAGAACTTTTTCATCATTAGTAGCCAATCAATAACCCCCATCTTACATCATACAAAATTAATCACTATGACCTGTTATCAGGCTTTAATGCAACCATATGCACACATACACACATGTAACGTGCTAACTGGCAAAGCTTGCATTTTGTCCAAGGCTGAGGAATCTGGCTCATATTTTCCTTCTCCCTGATCCAATCTAATCCTCTCCCCGTCATATAGATCGGAGTCTGCGGGGGCCAGAGGCGCTGACAGAGCCCAGATGCTCCCAGTCTGTCTGGGGGACTAGGGAGACTGGTGCCATAGGTTCCTGGAGCCTCTGAAGTGCCGCCCCTCCGTCAACATGACCAAGGCTAGACCTGCACTTTCTCCAGGCTGAGACACTCTGCTTACCGCGCTGACAACCCCACTACATAGTCCCAGATTGATATATGCTGGGATACACACTCCTAGCCACCCGCTCTCACGTAATGTATGGCCATTCATCAGCCGTTCCTAATTAGAGACCCCCAGATCAACACTGGAGTTCAAAAGGTTACAATGAGACACTGATACAGGGTTAGCAGCCTTGTATCAGTGTGCCACTGTTACCCCCACACCCCCTCACATGCTGATACCTCACATGGTCTTTTTTACTTTATCATTTCATTCTACTCTATCTCATCACCACTGTCGTAAACTTGCTCATGTGGGGGTGTCTCTTTGTTCTAAAGAAACAAATTAAAAAAGGCACCATACAAATCCTCTATCCTCCTGCTTTGTCTCTCAAAACACAAAGATCATTACAACGGCATCAGAGTATGCAGTGTTTGAAATGATATTTCTCTTTGTAGTTGTGGCATAGCGTGGAGCGTGTTGGTATTAGATGCTGCCGTGGCAGCTGTCATGGCTGGCTGAGCGGTGCCTCGGTGTCAGGGCCTCCGAGGCCAGGCTGTCCCGGCAGGCAGACAGAGGGGGAGGAAACCTGATAGTGCAGCCAAGCCCCACTGTAATGTCTGTCTATCCAGCTATCTATCCCTGTGTCTATCTGTCTGACTGACCGGTGGACACTGCCTATCTCCATGCCGGATACTCCTCTGGCTTCCCAGCAGTGGTGCACTGCTTGCAGCTGTGTTAGTAAGTTCCACTCTTT